TGCAGGGGTACATTTGCGAGCAGAGATCCCCCATCCACCCTTCTTCCCTTGGCGTACTCCACGGCCAGATTGTGGTTGCGAGCGAGAGCAGCGACAGATCCACTGGCGCTGTAGATGCGAGTGATGTTGAGAATGTTGGAGATCTGCTTCACCCCCTTGCCGACTTCACCCACCAGCTCTGCTACGGCCCCATCGAGCTCAAGCTCGGCTGTCGGCAGATGGTGAGAGCCGAGCTTGTTCTTCAGTCGATGAATGCGCACTCCATTCAATGCGGAATGAGGTGCTCGTGCATCGCACTCGGGTACCAAGTTCGCGGGCAGCGCAGGTCGGTCCTGACGACGCAAAGGGACGAGGAATAGCGACAAGCCTCTGGAACCCTCGTCCGATGTCCTGGCCAGAGCAAAGGCGACGTGACCATCCGCAGCTGAAGAGAACCATTTGAAGCCGTTCAAGAGGTACAAGTCTCCAGGCTTGCCCTTGGTAGAATCGCCCCCATCCAGTCGCGCAGCTCTCGTCTCGGTAAAGTTGACCGAGCTTCCGCCTGCTCTTTCGGTCATCCACTGCCCTGCGAACGCTGCACCCGGACCGCGGTGCAGCAGACGCGCAAGCCATCGATCCTTCTGATCCCTGGTGCCGAATCGAGCCAGAGCCAGGATACCGCCATCAGTCATGCTGATGGGACACAGACCGACGTGGCTGTCTGCCGACACGAGATGGGTGCGAGCCTGAGCATACAACCGCGCAGCTCCGCCCAATCTCTTTTTGCCGCCAGCGCTCTTCTCCCTATCAGCCAAGTACGCTTGTTGATACTCTTCGTCGAACGCCTCTCCAAGCACGCCTCGCTCAGCTAGCCAAGTGGCGATGGCTCTCCATCCCTCGCTCGTGACGACCTTGTCCAATCGCTGGCCCCACTGGTCATACTGGATCAGCTTGGGTCCCTCGGAATGGTCCAACGTCTCGGCGATCGGCCTCAGGCTCGTCTGCACTTCCTTTCCGAGACTGCGCAGTCGCTCCAGCAGCTCATGGTGGAGCTCTGGAATGGAGTCGGGCACTGTAGCAGCCAAGTGTCGGGCTAGCAGCGATTGCAAAACCGGCTGGACTTCCCAAGGGTCGCCCTCGATGGGTGGATTGAGGCGGTGCACTTCCTCGATGCGCATGTTGACGAATCCTGCAAGACTGGATCGAGATTTGGTTTGCGCGAGTGAGGGTTTGTAAGACGGATGAGGACAGCTCGCGAGAGTGCGCTCATGTT